GGAGAGGTGGAGTAGAAGGAGAAAATGAGAAATGAACAGAGGGAAGATAAAAGGTGGGAAATGAAAGGATGGGGAAGGCGGCGGTGTGTACTTGTTCTACTCAGTCCTCCTCCTGTTTGCCCCTCCCGTCCCAAAGATGCAGATAACATGAATAATTTTGCGACTTTGTTGGGGGAAACTTTTTTAAAGTGTGGCAAGGCAGACTGGAGGTTATAAATTATTCAAATGTTTCATCGGAGCCATGCCGCTTGCGTAGGGCAGGCCTCTATAATATGCATGTAAGAAGACATGATGAAACAACTCCATAAACAGTAGAGAGTAGAGAAGTGTTCGGGGAGCGCGGGGTTTGGGAGGAAAGGGTAATACACAGACAGAGTGACTCTGACTCTGTGTCGGCATCCACACACCAAGCCTCTATAATAAATACATCTAAGGACACTTGATGAAATGGCCGTTTGTGATGCGGGAGGAAGAGAGGAGCTGTGCGCAGAATAGGAGGGCAGATTAGGCGGTGAGATAAGGATGGCAGGAAAAACAAAAAAACGCTGAAGAGAAAAGATATATGAGAAGCGGGAAAAGGGGAGATATGGAGATTCCTGTCATTGTGAGAGTGTGTGTTTGTGTGAGAGAGAGAGAGAGAGAGAGAGAATGGGTGTTTAAAAGACAAAGAAGGAACACGCACCGACACGGGAGACAATAAATGTAAGGAGGCAGTTTGCTTTCTTCCTAAGTACCAAGGGAGGTAGAATATGCATTTCAAAAAGACCATTTGCTCCCATGTGCTGCAGCAGCGCTGTGATGAAATACACCAGAGGAAACCTTTGTATTATTGGTTGGCCTTAGGTGAACTAAATCTTGTTTTTTTTCTTTATTTCTCCTCCGCTATGCTTTAATTCTTCAGTTTGAGGAAGACCTACAATGAGATGTATTGGTCTAGACAAGTGGTGCTCAAACTGGTCCAGACTCAAGTCAACTCCATGAGGAAAATGTGCGACCCCAAACTTCAGGTATTATTCACCCCATCAGATTTATTTAATGAAATATTGTGCCACAAACATGTCTAAAAACGGCTTCATAGACTTCTTGACACTTTTTTTATTCTCTCCAAGGCACACAATCGGGACCCACTGAACACAGCTCCACGACCCACTTTTGGGTCCCGACCCACCAGTTGAACATAATCGGGTCTAGACAACATATTCACATGTGTCAACACTGGGATAAATGAAACACTTCTTTCTATTAGGGATGTCCCGATCAGCTTTTTAGACACCTGATCCCGATTACATGTTTTTTAAATATTGAGAATCAGCCGATACTTATATTATGCAGTAAGCATACTATCTTCAGTTTTACAAGGAGCATTTCAATGAGTGTATTAAAAACGATAAACTCTCAGACTGTCCAAACCGTGACAGAGCTGAAGAAAGACCTCTCGCCAGTTGGAGAAACAAAGCGCAGTAATTGGTGCTTTTTTTTTTTCTCTTGTACTCCAATTACACTGAAACCTCAGCGGCCTACCTCGGCCTTCTCCTAACGACACTGCACATTTCCTGTCTCATTTCTTTTCTTTCTTCGAGTTTAAGAAGTCCATATGAGCTGGAACAAAAAGCAAGGGCGAGCATTACGCTACATCGGTAATGAGTGGAAACCCTCCTGATGGCCCCTTTCCTCGGCCTGTTTCCTGAACTGACTCAGGAAGGGGGAACAAAAAGAAACAGGACTTGACCATAGTCACCTTACAGGATATCGCTGAGGGTATTCATAGTGATCTTTAACAGATAGACATCTGTCTTAGCAAGTCTTCAGCCAAATAAAGGCTCTTTAAAAAAAAAAAAAAAGTAAAAACTAGACTTGCATCGACTTTTCTCCGCAGAACGAGAAAATCATGCAGTTAAGTCAGTTAATTTATTCCCTGTCTTCATTGAGCGAGGGAGCGCAGCGAGGAGGAGAGTAAAGGAGTGGGGCAGCATTGATTGTATGTATTTATCCCCCGCTGGTCAGCAGTCTGGCTTGTTGCTGTTCACTGGAGGTCATTCTCCACATTGAATCCCAATTGATCTCCTCTGCGGAGCCTCCAGAGACCCCCAGAGCTCCATTATGAGGGCCATCACACCCGGGCGCGTCCACCAATAAACACGTATGCACACTCATGAATAGAGAAACACAAGCTCGTACTGTAACTACATTAGCACTTTACAACGCCAACAGGCACATCATTATGCATGCATGGACACACACACACACACACACACACACACACTTTTTCTTTTCGTACAGCACGGCCTTCCCTTCACACACGCACACTGATCGGTAGAAACTAAGTTTTACACGTCTCTCTCTATAATTCCTTGTACTGCGCTTCTAACTGCGTGTAAGAGCATGCATTAATTCAGACATCATTTAATAAGACACGCAGCCAGACTGCCTTGACCACTCCATAGAAAGGTGCTGAAAGGCAATTAGGTTGGGCAAATAGCCCTTCAGGCTCCAGGGGCCTAAGCCCTTCCAGCCAGAGGAGGAAGGGAGGGGCGGGCAGGCGGGCGGGCGGGTGGACTCACACCTCATGCCAGAGTTGAAAAAGACAGAGACAGTAATGATAGACACTTTAACTCTGCACATGGACAAATCTGCCCTTATGTGCTCTAACATGATGCAATTTGTACTGGAGATGGATATTTCATATCTTGTGGACTATCAAAACTATGATCTCGAACCACTTCATCTCCCTGAAGGAGTATTGTCCTTTTGAGTTTGTTCTTCCGCATTGTCTTGTAGCTTGATGTTACTGGACATGGAGGGGGGACCACTGCAGCCTGCAATCAGATTTCTATCCCTAATCTTACTTAAAGGAAGAAATCAAGTCTATCCTGTGTAAATGTGTCTCTGAGTCATGATTGTCTACAATGAGTGAGAAGCTCGAGTCCTGCTGGCTGTGTTGTTGTCAGAGCCGTGTTTACATCATGTTTATGGACGGGACGGCCTTGTGTATAAATCTATTTTCGTCAAGGACTAGAGAGAAGAAGAATAACATACTCACTGTTTATTTGGATGTCACATAAGTGTCTGGTCGTTCTGTGTCAATGTATGTGCAATATGAAGCTACGAGCTAACCAAATAGCGCTAACATTAGCATGCTAACACAGCAATGCAGGACACAGGTGATTGCAGCTCGAGCAAAGGACAATTTTGTCCGGCCTCTTGTGCTTTATGGTGCTTAAATATGGTGCGTTCTAATTGCTAACTTCTTGGTGTGAAGGCGAGTGAAGAGGGGTTGTCTCTGGAGGAGAGCGGAGGTTTTGCCAAACAGCAGTTTGTTTTGGTGTCATGCTGGTGCTCAAGGGCGACATCTACTGGATCAAAAAGTTACACAATCTTCCTTCAAATTAATGAATGAATCAAAACATTATGGTCTGTAACGATGTGTTATTGGCTCATACGATGCAAAGTGTAGTGGAGAGCCCTCCAGTCTGTGATGAAGATGGATCAGACACTGAATATCTGCAAGAATCATTCAAGGAGAGCTTTTCAAGAAAAACTCCTCCCTTTCACCTCCTCATCTGCTTTATTTAGATCCTTCAGCTTTCTGTTGTGTTTGGGTAGAACTATGTAAGAACCTACACATGCAGGTTGAAGTGTCGGTGAATGATGACAACCTTTTGACAGCAGCCTCATGAACAAATACGCTAAAAGGATGAGTCAATTACAGGTTCAAGTGTCTTCAGATTGTCATAATAGCACTGTATGAAAGCGATATGCTGCCTTCAGACACTCCTGGATCCATTCTGGAGGACTGCATTATGATTTCTTAAGAAGCTGGGGAAATGCAGGAGAAGGTCAGCAAGCGGTAAACGTGTAAGAAGCACCATGACCATGTAATGCTTAAAGGGGACCTTTTACAAAAAATCCACTTGTATTGTTTTTTTTTAACATTTATTTGGGTAACCTGAGTGTCTACTGACCCACAAAATGTGAAATAAATCCATCCAGTCCTTTGTTTGTGGTCTGCATAAGTCACAGAGAAACAGAGAAAAATGCTCAGTTTCAAATTTGCTCTCCTTGTGAGGTCACAGTGGGATTCTGGTGAAAAAAAAATCCCCTCCCCTCCCCTCGTATCTCCACCCATGGACTCCACCCCCAGGCTAGAACAAAACCTTTGCGCAAGTCCGCCATTGTTATTCTCGCTACAGAGGAGTGATGTCTACGGGGAAAACTCGGGGGGGGGGTCTCATGGCATTTAAAGAGACACACACACCAAAACGGAGCGTTCTGAGAGAGCTGGTTTATACAGGGTCACTAACCTCCTCTGGTGCTTGATTCGTGTTATATTTTGACCAAAGCACAGCACAGATGTTTCATTTAGACCACAGGGGGACTGTTTGAAAAGGTGAGAAAGGGGGGGGGTAATATTTCCTCTTTAACATACAGTAACATCATAAGGCATCAAGGCAGACTTTATGATCTGGGTTATTTTCAAAGTTCAAAGTAAGTTAAGTGAATTTTAACAGCAACTCTACTGAAAAAAAAAAAAAAAACTTCAAATCAAATAAAACGGGTGAATCCAGGACAGAGTCTGTTTGATTGTACTTCTTAAAGCGTGCAGTAACCATGGGTGTGGTGCCGGGAGAGAAGTCATAATTGAGAATCGTGACAGCACAGATGGTGATTTTCTTCTCTCTCCGCCTTCTTAAGTCATTTTTGCAGAATTAATTATTTGAGCTAGATTAGCAGCTGTAAGTATTCCTTATGTCACAACAATGAAAAAAAAAAAAAGGTTTTATCATAATGAATATTCAAATGAATGAATATTAAAAGCACTACAAAACATGCCAAGGAATTCCATGTGAGGATTAACAAAAATCCCGTCACAGCTTGTCCCAGTAATTTGGTGGGCAAAGGTACCCGATCCTGCATATTTGTTTTCTTGTTATTGCATGTAGAACTTACTCAAAAAAAAAGAAAACGGAACTGCAGAAAGAGGAGGAAGGGGTGGGACTTACCATTGTTGCCGAAGTCCAGCGAGTACTTGACCACGTGGTAGTTATTCCACACGTACAGCAGGTTGTCTCTCGGGTTGTAATCCACTGCAGCGATGTACTGGTACGAGTTGGGGAAGGGTATGTTCACCGTCATCTCCTTGCCCTTGTCTGTGTTGTACATGTAGTCGATTTTGTTCCCTGTCCCTTCGTTGTCGTCGTCCTCGTACACGGTTTTGACCACGTACAGGACGCCGCAGATCATGAAGGCGTTGGAGGCCGAGCGCTTGTCGTAGCTGGTGTCCGACGAGCCCTCGATGCGCAGCGTGTACGGGTTGAGCTGGCTCACCACGATGCGCCCGTTGTTCTGCTCCGTGGCGTAGATCACCCACAGGCCGTTCTCGTCCACCGCCAGGTCGATGTCCGACTTGCCCCCCCAGCGGTACGGCGAGGTGTCGTGGTAGTTGGCGTTGGCGATGATGGCCTCGCCGCTCTTGATGCGCGTGCGCAGGTCGAACTTCACGATGTTGCGCGTGCGCTCCTTGTTGAAGAAGAGCGCGCCGTCGTAGACCACGAAACCGGTCCCGTCCACGCGGTGCGGGAGCTTGTAGGTGGTGGTGGGACGCCCCGCGATGAAATCCTCCTTAGACGAGTACTCTGTCAGCGTGTCCGTGCGGTACGGCGTCCACGGCATGTAGTAGATCTTGTCCGAGGCCTGCAGAGGGTCTTTGCACCAAGCGCCCGACTGGTGGTCCGACTCGAAGAGGTGCTCGCTTTGGTAGACCCCGCGCAGAATGCCGGGGCACAGAAAAACTGAGGAATAAATGGAACAATGTTTCCCATTAGATATATTTGAAAGCAGCCGCTGTGAAATGTCAACGACTCTCTCTAGATTTGCAGACGGCGCCTGTGAAATGTTTGCCTGTGAATGTAACACCGTGTTTTAACTTAACCTCAACCACCAGCGAGCGACGATGACATGATAGGCTTACTGTGTTGTGATTTGGATGTTGTATTGTCACTGTCATTCTCACGCACAGACGCAGCATGCCTCCTATTCAACAGATAATACCCTGCTCTCACAGCTACCAGGAAAAAAAAAGAGAAAAATGGCACATTTTGTTCTACTTCCCTCCTTCTCCTCTATTCCCATTCCTCCCCTCCCCGTCCTCCCCTCCCCGGCTCCCTCATTAGTCTCATAGCTCTTTCTTCTCTTCCCTGCCTTTTCTATCTCTTGTCAGGAACAAACCCAGACTGTAGAGCTGAACGCGTCTTTTATCGCCTGCTGTTTCTGCAATTGTTACGATAATTCATTCCCCACTCCCTGCGCTTGGTATTCCCATTTTGGAATATGGGGGTCATGTTTTACGAGTGATGTGGGAGACGTTGTAAATTCTGGCAAAGCCAGTGCGACCAGAGTCGTGGGGACCTTTGTAATTTAACTGGAATGTTGTCACACACACACACACACACACACACAGTCAGACAGGCCAGATGTGCGCTGTGGTTTTTTTCATTCTCCCCAAAAACACAATTCCAGATCTGACAGCAAAGGGCTGGGAGTATTGATTTAATTTTCATTGACTATTCAAAGCGCCGGCTTAATTTTTCCTATCACGGGAAAAGCATTTGAAATATGAAATGTCAACGTAATTCTCTGTTCGTTGGCTCATCATAAAAATGTGCAACCCCAAGGAGAGTTTGTTAAGTGACATTCTACACGATAGCATGGAATAATACGGGCGGGGGGGGGGGGAGTGTGTCTAATGAGAACCAGTGTTTCCAAATTGCCTCTATAGGCTGAGATCAAAATGTCTTAAAAATAGCAGCAGCGACTTTGAAAGAGATGTCATTCTGCCATGAGGTACAAAACGCTTCAGGCACCAGCATCAAATAAGTGACACCCAACCCGCTTTTTTTTTTTTTTTTTTTTTGGAGCATTTGTGAATGAGGGCGCGCTTGTTTTACAGACTTACCTTTTTGTTCGACTTCTGCGGGATCCATAGGCGGAAGGTTTGATGAAAGAAAGGGGAGAAAAAAAGACAGAGACAAGAGACAAAAATAGATTAATGATGCAATAATAAGGAAATCATGATAATACAATCGCAGATCTCCATAATCGTTCTCATATTTCATTCTAACCTTGTGAGAGCACCAGGATGCTCTCCATGTGTGATTGGTAATAACATTACGTAAGCGTCTGCGGAGAGTGCGCTGCAACGGGGAAGGCTATCTGACAGTAATGCATCTCACATATGTCACACACACACACATATGGGGGAACAGACACAGGGCGAGGAGGAGGAGGAGGAGGAGGGATAGCGAACACACAGGAACGACGTGGAAAAACAGGCAAGCATTCAAAGTATCTAATGTGGTCCTTATCCCGACAAAATACAGCGATACATAATGACCTGAGGTAATGAGCTCTTTATTATATGCTAATAGCAACACAGCAATGAAAACCAGAAAATTGATTTGATTACCGGGATTGGATTTCAGCGGACCAGCCAAAACCACCACATTAACATGCTTTCTGTAGCACAGTGGGTGAGCAAAAAAAAAAAATGCTTTGTGTGTGTGTCACCTACTCAGTGTGGCACTGTGTATGAGTGTGCAATCATCTGTGTGTGGAGGTGGGAGCATACTGAATGCACTGGGTTTGCCTCAACCCTAACACCAATTCCCTGTCTATTATATTCAAAGCTTTATCCTCAGAGCGTCGACGGAGGGTGGTGCATGTTGCCGCCCCGATGCAACGAAATGTGCCTCTCAAACATATGAATTCCATTCCACCTTGTTCCCAAGGGGGACCGAGTGGAATGTGAACACGGCAGAAACCTAATCCTGCAGGCGGTGCCCTTGTGTCTTTTGAGACCGTTAGAGACCTGCTGAATGGAACTGGTCCCCGGGGAGGAGAGGATAGAGGATAGAGGAGAGGAGAGGAGAGGAGAGGAGAGGAGAGGAGAGGAGAGGAGAGGAGAGGAGAGGAGAGGAGAAGAGAAGAGGAGAGGAGAGGAGTTGAAACCTCAGAGGCAAAACATTTGAAGGGACTTGCACACATATAATGCCCACTTGCACTACATATTGCACATTACATGCATACATTCTTAAACACATTAAAGCAAAACTCATCACCAACCGCATGACGTATACAAACACATGTGACACAGATGCACACACACACTCACACACACACACACACACACACACACACACACACACACACACACACACACAGCCACCATTAAATCCTTGGCTCATGAAAAATGCATGGTAACTAGTGCGGCTTAGCACAACTCCCGATAAATAAGCAATCTCTGGAAGGAGATCGTGTTAAACCTAAAACAAGTGTGTACAGTGTGCACGTGTGTGAGAATGCGCGTGTGTGCGTGCATGTGTGTGTGTGTGTGTGTGTGTGTGTGTGTGTGTGTGTGTGTGTGTGTGTGTGTGTGTGTGTGTTGAAGATATAAAATGGTTCACCACAAGTAAGGAAGCAGTTCCCTTGTGAGAAAAGCTTGGAAAGAAAGCAGATAGTGTGTCTGTGCAGGGTGGTGGTGTGCGATGGAACGACTGATATTGATGTTGCAAACACACACACACACACACACACACACACACACACATTTTAAACAATACAAAGAGACACATTGTGGTTGAGAAGACGAGGATTAATGACACCAAACAACAAGGACTTCACACTGCCTGAGCGTATTATAGAACCTCCCAGACACAAAGGAAAACACGCAGAGTTCAAGGTTGCCGGCAGCTAATAGATTTAAAATGAAAAAGTGTGGCGCCAACAAGTACACCGAGTGGCACACAAAATGTCAAACAAATGTCATTCAATTTTGTGTTGCCGCTCGACGTTTCACTAGATTAGCAAGAAGCCTTCGTCGGTGACCTCATTGCAATATTTTTCTTTCTTTCTTTTTTTTCCGAGGCAACTCTATTTTTATTCTCCATGACGAGGGGGGGGGGGGAGGTAAAGAAATGAAAGCGCTTCACAAATCACAGTCACTCGTCCTTTCAGGATTCGCCGGAGTAGGTCGGTTGAGATTTTTTTGTTCAAAGGTCCTCTCAAGGTTAGCCGGAGCGTGCGAGATGATGAAATAGATGAGAAGTCTTTTGAGCTGCAGCTAGTTCAGCGTGGAGGGTGGCTCCAAGAGGAGGACGAGGAGGAGGAGGAGGAGGAGGAGGAGGAGGAGGAGGAGGAATATGAGCTGTGACAAGTTGCCAGAAACGCGTCCTTGTTTCCACAAAAAAAAAAGCCAACAAGAAAGCATCGTCTCTCCGTCTTCTCTCGGTGTTATTCGTGATTGAATCCCGCAGAGGTGCGGCGGCGTTTTCTATCTGATATCTTTGACTGATCATTTGCAAAAACACTTAGACTGCACTGCTGAATAGTTAGTTGTGCAGCTAAAAAAAAACAAACCTGAAGGCTCTGAATGAATATTAGAAAACAATAGCAGAAAGAAATAAAAAACAACTCTGTTTAGCTTCACATTCATTAAAAATCATTTAAATATTCATTAATACCCCAGCTGATATCTTCTCCATTTCTCTGGATTTCTTTAATCACATGAACGGCTCTGGCTCTGTACCTTCGGATGCTTTATTCCCTCTCTCTCGATTCCATTTCTACTTCTCATGCAGACGCCGTGTTAACCTGACTGTGCTGCAGTGTAAAGATAATTAGCATTTTTATTGAAAGCATATGGTTTATTAAAAAGGTATTCGTCTTGGAGGAAGATGTGTGGGTGTGTGTGTGGGTACTCATAGGTGTGTGTTACAGAGTGTGTAATGTGGAGGCTCGGGCACGCTCTCTGCAGACGAGTGGCGACAGCAGCCTTACCACTATTATCTCTGATCTCCAATCAGCTCAGCCGGCTAAAGCCCAAGGTCATTTGTGGACACAGGCGTTTACTTCTCCCTCTCTCTCTCTATTCTTCCTCTAAGTCCTCTCATCCCTACCTTCCTTTCTCTCACGCTGTGCCTTTTCTCCTCCTTCATTCTACTCCTTTTTTTCCCCTTCCTCCCACTTTCCTTTGACCACCTCTCTCGCTGTGTCTTTTTTTTTTTTTTTTATCAGTTAATTCTCTCTGTTCCTCGTCTGCTGGCCTCGTCTAACCTATTTCTCTCTATCTCCACTTCGGCTGCCGCTCGCTCTCTCTCTCTCTCTCGCTCCCTTGCTCCGTCTCCGTCCTTCTGTCTCGTTGGTTCCTTTCCATCTTGCCTCGCTCTCTCTGGGAAAACACAAAGTCGTCTGCATATGTGTACACACACACACACACACACACACATACAGTAAAACTGTAACCGTGCACACTCAGAGAGAGACACACAAACACAAGAACATGATCCTTCGCTGAGAGTCTCCACGGCAACACGCGCACACACACTTCTCATGTTATCATGATGAAGTTATTCCAAGGGTCCAATCTGACAGAAGTCTTTAATTGGACAAACAAGAAGGTGATTGTATCTTTTAATTAGCTTTCCTACGGAGCCAAGTTCTTTGTCTAAAATAGGCTGCATGGGTATTACATAACATATCACTGCTTTTCTGATTAATACACTAAATGTGGTAGTAGGCTAATTGCTTCATAACAGCAGTATAAGAGAGAGAGAGTGTACTGCAGGAGGGTGAGGAAGTAGACATAATCCACGTTTTTTTTTGTTTTTTTTTAAGTGGACGAGCATGACTTGATAACACAGATATCCATGCATCTTTTTTTTTTTTCTGCAGGAAAAGCAGATTTGCAACATTAAATGTCTCGGTGTAGAACAGCTGTCTGGGAGAAGCACTTTGTACAGTTGTGTTCTAATGTATGGATATTTATAGTCCGCCTGCAGAGCAATGAGCAAGTATACACAAGTGGCTAATTACCGCCAGAGCTAGCTGGCTATAGTTTGGCACATGACAGCCACACTCTTATACCACAGAGGGAGACGGAGCGAGGGAAAAAGCGAGAGAGAGAGCACTTGATTTTCTTCTTTTTTTTTTTTTTTTTTTAGCTCTGGAAATCAGCCAGAAACCTGCAGAGCGGGGAGGAGAGAGGAAGAGCTGTGTAGGTATCGCGAGCCAAAAAAAAAAAAAAAATCCTCGAGTTAAAAAACGGTAAAGGGAGGCGGAGGATGCAAAATTTCCCTGGAAAACTGAAGCATACATAATTTAATTACCTGTTTTACAACCCACTTTGAGATTTGTTTACAATATCTATGTGGTGTTGGGGGGGGGGGGGGACATAACAGCTTTTTTGATTCCAGCATGGAGGCGCGCAGAGAGAGAACATCCACGCTGTGAAGTGGTGCCCCGATTATGTTTTCCCTTCATTTGCAATCAGAGGCTCTGATTAGCAGAGGTGACGACCTCGGGGGTCACTACTAGTGCACTTAATGTCCGGGGACGACTGCTTGAGTTATGGGTGTCTCTTGATGTCACAGCCCTTTGTGAGCGCCGAAGCCGAATGTAAATGGAATGATTTGTTCCACGTTGCAGCTCACGAGCGTTTTAAAGAATGCGACAGTTTGAGCACACTGTCATATATTCCAGAAAACAAGCCTTGTTTTATTGATCCGTCCTGATTTATGATAACACTTTGGAGATATATCACCGCTTAATGTCTTACAAAATGTGGCTTTCAAAGGAACGCGGCTGACAGCATTGATTTGCTGTGTGAGGCATGCCAGCTTGATCTTACCCGTCTGGATGACTGGTCTGAATGTCTGCAAACAGCAGTGTCTTAATTGCGGCTGTATTTTAAAGAGATGTTTCTTTGATGCAATATAGTGGGGGTAGTGGGGGGGTTGTTAAGGGTTTTGTCAGGGCAAAGCTTGAGGTAGTCCCAGCCCAGGCGTTTAAATGTCAGATATGGATTCTCGTTATCCTCGGCTGGTTTTACCTTCATACAACTTTTCTCATGACCAAACACACCCACAGGAGCCAGGTAGTGTATCGCAGTGCTACCTGATCCAGCCTGAACACTTAGTCAGTACACGGAAGCTGCTAATGTACTGTCAAAGGCGCTCTCTCTCTCTCTCTCTCTCTCTCTCTCTCTCTCTCTCCATTCCTCTTCAGTGTTCTATCTCTCCCCTCTATGTCCCTCCCCTCTGTTAGCCGAGCTCTCTGATGACTTTGGTTTCAGATGCTGGCTATTTTTTGCTATGGAAGGAGGGGTGAGCGGGGGTGGGGGGGACGTTACCCTGACCGACCCATTGTTTATCAGATCAGCATGCAACTCATCTCCCCTTTGCTCTCAGCTGCTGCTCTTTGCAGTGGTGCATCGACAAAACACCCGGTGCTCCATTTTTAAAGCTCTTACAAGTTTTACATTCACAGGTGATACAAGAATCACACACACACACACACACACACACACACACATACACACACACCTTGTTTTGATGCATGCGTGCGCGGTGATGTTTGAGTGGGTGCACGTGCACTTGGTGGGGCATTAAGCAGGTATCAGGTTGTGTTTCCATCTGCTCCAGAGAGGGCTCTGATAGTCCTATTATTTAATCTGCCGGTCATTCTAGACGCCAGGCAAGGGCTGTTTAGCCAGACATAATTGAATGCTTCAGTGTGAGAGATCACCTTGGCCGCCTGTATGGACCGTGGTGCCAAGGCGGTGCTCTCAGACGACGTTAAGACAAAGAACCCCCAACAAGGAATTGAGCTTTTTCTGAAAAGCACTTTAGAGGGAGTTGTTGCATGAAGAAGTGGGAGCTCTAAAAAAGCTTCTTCAAAGTGGGGCTCATTTCTGTCACAATATTGTTGAAAGATAACGAAAAAAGTTCAAGATTCTGATTAAGAAGTTTCCTTAATACACTATTAGGTTGCCAAAGATGTTCCATGCTTCAGTATTTTTATGATACCCAGTGATTAAAAATGATAATTTATTAGTTATTTTAATGATCATTGTTAATTCTAGGTACTGAAGCTTTAAAAAACAACAGATCTTCAGTCTGTTCATCATCTCATAAAAATGCAAAAGTTACATTTCTGTCTCTTTAAAGCAAAAAGCGAGCAGAGGAGATGACAGCAGAGATTATACTGTCTAAATCAGTGGTTCTCAACAGGCGGGTCGGGACCCAACAGTGGGTCGCAGAGCCATTTTCAGTGGGTCATGAGTGTGCACCTTTGTTAAGCACTTTTTTAAACATGTTTTGTAACTTCTAAAATGCAAAATGAACAATTCTTTGAAAAAAATTAATCTGACTGATCTGAATCTGGGTCGCGATTTTTTCATGAAGGAGTCGGTGGTGGGTCCTGAGGATTAATCTGTAGAGAACCCACTGGTCTAAACTGCAGAAATATGGCAATGTTTCAATGTTTCGATTCTTGATTTGATTGGACATTGGATAGAGGATGAAATCAGGGAGCGAGAAAGAGAGAGAGAGTGAGTGAGGAGTGACATGCGGGTTATGATCCACAGGGGGCGGGACCTAACCTCTAGGACATCTGCGCTCCTCATATTATACCCTTAAAGAACAGAAAATTTACGGCCAGTTTACTCACAACAGCACTTCTCTGCAAAACCTTTCAAGTGACTCTCACTCCAAATTAGGATTGTTTTTCACCGCTTATAAAATTTGGAGACAAGACCTAATGGATGTTTGAAGATGATTTTTTTTTTGTTGTAGTTGTATAAAAGCCCTTTTTTCTTTCAAGTCGCACTTCAGATATTTTCCTTTTTTTAAGGCGCAGAGGAGTTTGTAACAAAACAAAAACATGCCAGCAATGAGAAGCTGTGCACATCATGTGCACCAAAATTGACATGTTTTCACTTCACAACGCCCACGCTGCTTCCCGAATCGTCTATGTGATCTTTAGAAATAACACAATGTATCAAGGTCACGCAAGACGGAGCGGTGTGAAGGATTCAGTTCAACATTTGCATTGATCAAAGGAATAATCTGCCACAAAGACTGAAGTGCACCAAGTCAAATGCAACTTGATCTTTAAGTGGTCTTTAATTTCTGCACAAAGGAGGGAGTGTTATTATTTATTCATTCATTCTTAGCAAAAAGTGAGTTTTTCAGCTGCTTTGCTGCTTTCTGGTCAGGAATTCAACCCCAACAGGGTCGGAAATCTACGTCTTGACTCAGCAGCCATGATGGCAGGTAGAAGAAAATCCTCCGACTAAATAACAACATGTGTTTTTCTTTCACCTTTAAATTCCTTTCAGTCTATTTCATTCAAATAAAAAAGATGTTATGTAGGCGCAGGCGGCCTTGTGGTTAGAGCGTGACCCCCATGTACAGATGCTGAAGTCCTCGACATGTGCAGCATGGGTTCAAATCCGACCTGTGGCTCCTGTCCCGCATGTCATTCCCCACTCTCTCACTCTCTCTCTGACTTCTGACTCTTTCCATTCTCCCCTCTCTATAATAAAGACATACTAGCTACTTAGTAAGTCTAATGCTTATGTTGGCTGGGAGCAAGCTGGTTCCAGCGGTGTCTGTGTGTGTGTCTGTGTGTGTGTGTGTGCTGGAGAACGGAGCTGCAGATACACCAAAAACTCTGGTGAAACTCTGCAAAAAAAAAATACATTTCTATTTCAGTTCAAACATTTCTCGTGCCATGTAGCGGATAGCCCTCAAAGACAACCTGCCTGCCTTCGGCCCCTGGCGGGTGTTATTTTCAGGCCCTGCATCCCATTATGTGCCAAAACATCACAATCACTCGCCTTTGAAAAGACCATTTCAATGCTTCTTGTAAAGAGAAAAGAAAAAGAATTAGGGAAACATTTGCTTTAGGTTTCTACTTCTCATATTTCACCATCGCCTCTGTAAGCGTTAATGTAGTGTGACATAAACATTAAGGGGAATTAGACCTAAACACACTAAGGCACATCCCTCAACCCTTAAATATTTATTGCACACTCAGCTGTAACGTAGATTTTTGTGGACAACCATGCTTGTAAAAAAAAAAGTGTTTCCCTGTTGTTGGGATATTTTGCGAGCGTGTCCTCGTGAATGTTTCACCCCAGTGGATACAACCTCCCTAGTCTGTTATCACATTGTCAAAGGTCATATCTCCATCTGTCATCGCTGGAACAAATCCCAACTCTTTCCTTCCTGCGGACTTTCCCAGCAATGATCTTCATGGTTTCCCTCAAACGTTTACACTAACGATTCAATTGCTATTACTGTAATTAAATCTGCATAATGTTGGTGATAAATCAGCATTAAACATGCCTTTTAATAATCAAAAGTTAGCAAATAAACCACTAATATGTAGGGATTGTTTAAAGAGACTAAAAAGTAATGTTTCACATGATCCCCACATTTGTTTCACTGATGATGTCATTGTCACAATACCATGGCAACCAAAATATAAGCCCTATGCACCTCATAATGGGTCATTTATTGTTTTTCATTTTTCAAAAATTGCACAAAAAACTCTTACACTCTGTCTCAATAGCATTAAGACATTGGCAACGATTCAGTCCCCAGATGTTGTCAATGTGTTTGTTCAATTCTGACAGTCACCTCCCCTGCTCTCTGTATGTTTGTTCTTTATGAGACGACTATGGAGTGAATGGACCACAGCTGCTGCTCTCTCTCATTCTGGTTTAAAATAAAACAGAGGATCGGAAGTTTTTTTTAAAGCTTTGGTACTTTTTAAATCATCATCATTATTCAAAAAAACGCTGATTGTATCTTTTAATAACGTAATGTGGAATTATTAAACCTTTAAGATGAGGTGGCATATTCAATGACTGATTAATCGACCATAATAGAGATAAGAAAAAAATGTTGAAAACAATTTAAAGGTCACATATTTGACTCCTTTTCAGCCAGTTTAAATAAGTCTCAGAGCTCCCCAAAACGTGTGTGAAGTTTCTTGTTCTAAATCCACTCTGATCCTGTATTTGATCATGTCTATAAACCCCTCTATTTCAGCCCTGCTCAGAACAGGCTGTTTCTGTGTCTGTACCTTTAAATATGTAAATGAGCTGTGTCTGACCACGCCCCTCTTTGGAAGGGGGTGTGGCTCAGACTTGCTTGCTTCATGCCCTATTGTTTACTGTGAGAAGGCAGACTCAGTGAGCAGAACAAACACCTAGCTGTGGGAGTGTCACACACCTAGGGGGAGGGGCTACTGCCCTTTGTGATGTCATGAAGGGAAAATCTCCAAACGGCCTGTTTAAGCACACATTTTCTAAAAAGTGGAGCAGGCAGAAGACGGAGAGGATGGACTTTTCTTTTAATTGGGGGGGTTTGTAGACAGACTAGAGACACATGTTAGTGATACCATGGTGAAGTGTGTTTTGCAAGTGTGTTTTGCATAAAACGTGACCTTAAAAAAAAGGATACTTACTATATGGGACACACTCGTATTGGACTTCCAGATATTTGTAAGTGCCCGGGCAGGGGTCAGGGAAGACGTCAGGCCCAGCCACCACTGCACACTGGGTACGGTTGTTGCATCTACACAAAGAAAGAGACGGGCATGTTAGTGGAGCATCCTGATGATACACAGATATGTGTACACATGTCTCTGAAGGCCGAAGCACTCGGGAGCCTGTCATATGTGAGGTGATATATGGTGTGATGTATTATGTCTACACATATAGCTACATTCACAATGGCACGCGAGGGTCATCTGTGTTTAGGGACTCTTGAGATTGACAAACGAGCAGGCAACATGCGATTACTAGAACACCTGGAGGGTACAACAATGTAACTATTCACTGGGCTCGTACAAAAGGTGGTCAGACAATGGCTACTGAGCAGCTGTGTGTGCGCGTGTGTGTGTGTGAACTGTAGTTGGAACAATAACCCATAGCTTTAAGAGTATTTTGCCCCCAGAGTACATATAATTAATCTTAATCAGCAGGGGGACACACTCCTCTGACCCACAAAAAGTAAGTAATTCTCTCTCGTATTAACAAAGGTTTTATATAGCAGCCCAGTTGAAATTGTAAATGGACTTGAGCACGTGTAGCGGTCACACCTACACACCCATCCACACTCTGATGGCAGAGGCTGCTAAGGTGTCCATCAGTATTCACTAATCCCATTCACACACATTCATACACCGCAGACCAAACAGCGGAAGCAACTTTGGGTTAAGTGTCTTTCCCAAGGACACATCGGACATGTGGGTGTCTGAGCTGGGGGTCAAACCCATGAACTTCAGGTTAAGAGACAATGACTCTACCAACTCAGCCACAGCTGCCCCCGCAGTAAAGCCTTATGCACACATGCACTCCTCCTGAAAATGTCTTGAAAACTTCAGGAACAGCTGCCCCTGAAATCTTTTCACAAGTTGCCTGTTTACAGACAAGCTGTAGGCAGGACGTGATGTATAAAGGAGGACGGGGAAATGGAAAATGAAGCGCCCGAGTCTGACGCCTATGATGATGTTGTAAATGTGTAAAAGGATGTATTCACAGTATCAATGAATGCTGGCGAGCAGAAAAAGAGTATGCAGCAGCGTCTTTATGTGAACCAAGATCCAACGTTCACACATCACGCAGCTCAACCACCCAAGTTTTTTCTGGGACATCTTCAGGAGTCTTTAAATGTATGTGTGAAAACACCATGAATGACTATGTTGGCTTCTCAGACCAGTCAAGTGAAAAAGCGATGATTGTTCAACTTCAAATTAAAGACATTTAATTAAAGGTGTGTTGTAAAGCGATAGTTTGATGTGTTCTTTGCGGCTTGGCTGCTGTTCTCTTGACAGAGGAGCCGGGATCAGGAAGCTGATCACACCAGCGGGACGTAGAGGAAGGGTGACTTCACTGAAATGTATTTTCTATGAATAAGGTTTTGCAGGGTGTGTCGCACAGCGCTGCATGTGCAGAGCCTGAGCATTTAGAGTTGGGCTCACAGGTTTTCAAAGATTTTTTTTCCCCCCATTTTGCTGCGTCAATATTCTGCTGTTTTCTCTGCCGTCTTGTTCTCGTTTGCTGTCAAAGAAACAAAGTTTGAACAGATTCAACAAATGAGTGTGAGTGAAGAACACACTAACAAGCAGAAAAGAGGAAAGAAACAACAGCTTCACTACATGCATGATGATCACACTGGTCGCTCACAGGCTCCTTGATGTGAACATCAAAACCGTCGCCCACTCGCTCGCCAGGAATCTTTTTTGAATATGACCTGCTGTGTCCGCACGTCGTCTCAGCTGGACTTCAAATTAAATTTGACAAGGGGGCTGAAGGGAAACATTCTGGGTACAGTCAGGGTGAAATATTCAGCTGTGCGGGGGCGCCGAGTAGCCTAATGGTTAGTGCGCGCGCCCCCTGTACAGAGACTAAAGTCCTCCAAGTGGGCGGCCCAGGTTCGAATCCAACCTGTGGCTCCTTTCCTGAATGTCATTCTCCACTCTCTCTCACTCCCTGATTCTGACTCTTCTCACTGTCATACCTCTAGAGTAAAGCCATAAAAAGCCCAAAAATAAAACAAAAAAAATGTCAGCTCTGCGCTTAGCCTACGGCCTTACGGCTCATCCTGAAAGTTCTGTGACATTTTCAGTGGGTTCTTTCAGTGGGCAAGCAGGGCTAAGCCCCTCCCTTTCTTACTACATCCTCTCTACATGGGTGCGCGCAACATAACTGCTAAGCCGGTGGTCTTGTCTAGCCGAAGGACCCACCACCACTCCCTCCATGAGAAATCGTGACCCAAAAGTCTGATATTTTTCAACCAGTCAGATTTATTTACTTAAAGGCTTTATATGCGATTTTTTGATCCAGCAGGTGTCGCCCTTGAGCACCAGCATGAAACCAAAACAACTCTCGCTGCATTGTTGTGTTAGCATGCTAATGCTAGCGATCTTTATTATGCTGGTATCTTCACACTGCATGTAAATTTACCTGAAATGAGCGTGATCTAGAAACACAGTTAAGCAGTGAGTACAGTATGTTATTCTTCTTTTCTCTAGTCCCTCAATTAAACAACTTTTATACAAGAGGGGAGGAGTCGGCCGGCTGTCCGGGCGATGTAAACAAACTGAAGATAGGACTCTGAAAACTCTGAAAACATCACAGACAGTGGGACTCGGGTGTTAGACCCATTGTAGACAGTCATGACTCACAGAGTTATTTTCAGAGGATATACTTGATTTATATTATCTATTATCTATTATCGCATATAAAAACTTTAAACCTTTGGACCTTAGACGATACAAAACATGCGACAGAGGCAATAAACTGAACAAAACAAACAAGTTTAAAAAGCGCTTCACAGACTTTTTGACACAATTTTTTTTTTTTTCAGGGACAGAATCGTGACCCACTAAAAAAGCTCTGCAACCCACTTTTGGGTCCCGACCCACCAGTTGAGAACCACTGCGCTAGGTTACCCCCTCCCCATGTATTTGATCACATGTACTGTATGAAGGTGTGCAGCTCTGTAAAAAGCATAAAAATGCATAAATGGTATCGATGGGAAGGTGTTTAATTAAAGAGTCTGAGGCAAGACCTCACAACACAAAATGAATTGTGGGGGGTTGTGTGTAGCTCGTATGTAATTGTGATGTATGCCTGTAATAACTGAAAATGCCACCCCAGGTGAAGCTCCACTTTATCTCAATGGTGCTTCCCCCGGTTTAAACACATGAATGCATTAAGGTGGATGAGAAATGTGCTGGACGGGGGGGACGAAGAACACTCGAGGAGAAACGGGAAACTGAAGATCCATTTCTCTTCTCTCCGATCAGAATATTCTCTTTCAATTAGTCCAACTGCTCCGTCGCTCCCTCTTCCCTCTCTGCGCACCTGTCAAACAGGTGACATTTACATTAACACATTCAGATTCTCCCATTGAGATCTTTTTTAATGAGCATGCCAGACCCCCTCAAGTCTTTTTTTTTTTTTTCTTACAGTTTCATTCAACAATTTGCATAATGAAATATGCATGAGAGCTAATTTCATTTTGGGTTTTAATATTCACATATGACACAGAGGGATAATGCAAGGCAACACGTTCCTCTTCCCTGTGACCTGTATCGGTGTCTGTTGCTGATCTGTGGCGTCGCTGCATGGTCAAGTGAGTGTTTCTTTTTTGTTTTTTTTAAAGGTTTAAAACTCTTATGTGGGGCAATGTCTGTCATATTCTAATAACAATACCCGCCAGTCTTCTCCCCTCTCCTCCCCTCCCTTTCTTTTTTCTCGCCTCTGTGCTTTTTAATTTCTTGCCCCGGTGCCTTCATCATCGGTCACCTGTCATCAGGGCGAGTTGTGGACTTGGGGGGACACAAACTGACACGACGCCACAACTTTGCACACAACACCCACCATTGGATTAGGACTAGCTGGGGCCCCAGTGCCGAATCGGAGCCCAAGCTGTGTTTAATGACCCCGCAAATATGTTAAAAAATAAGAATACAAATCCCACGGAGCTTCATACTGTCGGATGAAGACTACTGATTTAGAGCCATTTGTTTCACTCAAAACTGTGTAGAAGGGCTGAACCGATGTGCTTTAGTCACATCGCAGGACGGGTGTCAAGTCACCTGAGCGCGTCACGCTGCCACGTTTGTGTTGTCTGATTCAAACCAAAACCGCCACGTTTCTTGTTTTCTTGACTGATCTGCATTAAAAGTCGGTCTGACATCACATTCAGTGGTCAGAGAAATGACCACCGTGCATGCAAAGTCTGCGAGTCCTCTGCATGTACAAATGTACAGGCTACAGACCACGCTGCCGCCGTCACAGATACCACAGCACGACCCTCAATGCAGACGCTCAATCACAGATTTTAATGTGTATATCATAATGAATGTGTTCCCGATATCTATGGCCACATGTATGGACTGTTTGCAGAGTGCATGTCGCTCGCCTAGCCGCTAGCCCTGCAGCAACATGGTGATGTGTTTGTGAGTTAGGAAGCTCAAGACAGTGAGCTGCAGCTCATTTAGGTTATGTAGATATAACCTCGAACGTTGTTAGAATTGGTTGATGACGTGTAAGTAACACAATTGAAAGCTTATTGGTAAAAGTTACTGAAGAAGTCAGTGGACACTGTTTTAGCAGGATGATAGTTTTTTATTGGAGCTTCAGTGTGGATATTTTTAAGTACTGTTTGGAAAAGATACTGCAGTCCAAATTCTAAACATTGTAGAGAGCTGTCTCCCCCCGTCCCCTCCTCTCTCGATGTCCACACAGGTCACCATGTGGTGGACTCTGAAGCTTCAGTGTTTATCCAGCTCTGCATGGGTCTGTAAAGCTTTCTGCGTTCTAACCTCTCTCCATTTTTCAAAAAGCATCTCCAATATTGATCCTAGTTTGAGCACGTTTCTGCTCGTGGAGCTTATTAGAAACATGCAGAGGCTTTTTAGGTCGGGTACAATCACTTCTATCTGAACCACTTCTCCATCGCTGCAACACCTGTTGGTTTGCCGTTTGACTGGCAAGGGCAAAACGGCTGTGTGGGGGGTCGCCTTAAAACCGCCTACCTTCTCTGGTTCCAAACAAATCCAG